TATCTATCTATCTATCTATCTATCTATCTATCTATCTATCTATCTATCTATCTATATATTTATCTATCTCTTCCTCTCAGTCTATGATGCTCTTGTTTTACGAATATAACATAACACTCCCCGGACCTGTCAGCAGCCTAAGTAATATTGAAAGAAAAGTACAAGCCAAGAGTCCCCTCTGACCTGTTAGTATCCTAAATTGTATTGAAATAGAAATAAAAGTCCAGGCGTTCCCCTGACCTGTGGGCAGCCTTCATGTGTCCGGCGTTGTCCGAGTGGAGCAGTCTGGTGTCCCGGAGTCGTAGGGCGAACTCACAGGGACCGATAACTTCCACGTCAGCGCTGGTCTGGATGGTCAGTCTGGCCGTGTCCTCGGAGGCGCCGGACATGCTGGTCGCGGTGTCCACTCTGTAGGGAGGGAAGGACGGGCGGGAGGGGAGGGGTGGGGGACGGGAGGAGAGGGAGGATGGTGGAGGAGGAGAGGGGAAGGGAGGAATGGAAGAGAAGGAAAATAGCCAGTGTGAAAACGATAAGTGGAGAACGAGAGATGGAGATAATGAATATGTTTGTTTTAGTACGGTTTTACGGCGCTCACAACTGCACAAGATCAAATGAATGCCAAGGGGTGAATGTCAACTGAGAAGTTCAAACGGGGAATCATGCTTACTCCTCTCACCTCTCTAGCCTCAACAGCACAAAGTCTGCTTCGACTAGCAAAGCGTCCACAAGAGAGTAACGAACATACAAAAGAAGTAGAGGCAAAATGACGATAGTAAGGATGAGGAAAGAAAAAGCAGCAATTCCCCCTCCGTTGTTCCAGCACAATATGAGCATGGCATTGATAAATCAGCCCATTAACAATTCTACTGTGTATAATTACATGTTTGGGAATGGCCTAAAGACACTTCAGTCAGTAGCACTGCCCTGGGGAGGGGGAAGGGGGAGACGAAGATAATAATATCAAGAATGATGGAATAAGAACGTTTTGACCTGTGTTGGCGTTTTGAGCAACGATTATGTAGGAGGAGGACCGAAAGAGATACGGAGAACAATATTATTAGAAATCTTTGAGCTGTGTTGAAAATTAGAGCGACAGTTATTTTAGGAGGGCAGAAAGAGAAACGGAGAATGATATTATCATTATTATTATTATTATCATTATTATTATCATTATTATTCTTATTATTCTTATTCTTATTCTTTTTTTATTTTTTTATTTTTTTATTATTATTAATAAAATTGTTTTGAGATAATTAAAAAACAACAACCACGAACACAACAACAACAACAACAACAACAACAACAACAACAACAACAACAACAACAACAACAACAACAACCACAACGACGACGACGACGACGACGACAACAACAACGAGAACAACAACAACAGAAACAATAACAAGGAAAATAGAAGAAAGAACAGCAACACAAAGCCCCTTACTGGTAGTCGTAGGTGTAGATATATCCAGGGTTGTACTTGAACTTGCCGTTGTCTTCGCATGTCTCGGAGCATCTGTCGGATTCTTGAACTGAAAGGGGCCCTGAGGACGTAACAATGGATAGCAGATTTCAGTCTAGATCATAGATGTACACTATAGCACTATAGGTTTAAAAGGAGGTAACTCTATGGTCTAGATCTATATGTTAATGTGCAAGCTGTAATCCTTTTTTGTTTTGTCTTGCTTTTTTTTGGTTTGTCTTTCTTGTTTCTAGGTTGTATTTATTTTTGACAACTGCATCCGCCGGAAGGAGAATTATTTACAGTACAGTTTTTGTTTTGCTTTAGTAAGTATTTTACAGCACTTGCAAGACAATTATTAAGTCATATAAGTACCGGAGAATAGATGTGTTACAAGGGAATAAAAACACATGAAAGAAGGAGGAGAAATAGGACGATAGATGTTTGATAGGAAAGAAGGAGCAAACCACCCGATACGATACAGTGACTTTGCTATAGGTTGTGAATCTTAAAAATACAACTGGTTTCGGGGAATAATTGTTCATAGAATTCATCAATTTATTCCAAATTATGAACTGAAGATGCCCCTAGTAAAGCAGAAAAAGGCCGTTCATCCGCTGGGAAGTTGCTTTCGATAGACGTGACAACTTCGAAAAGACATTACATGAAAAGACAAACATGGAGTTGATCTTGCTTTTAAAATCGAGAAGTCCAACTCTCAGACAATCAAACATTATCCTACAAAAACAAACCAGTTATACTTTTTTAATGGACGGCCTTTTGATCTACATCTAAAGCCGTTAGTTAAAGAGAAAGCACACACACACACACACACATACACACACACACACGCACGCACGCACGCACGCACGCACGCACACACACACACACACAAAACAAAAACAGCGAAGTCTTGTTAAACGTTAATGTTACATTGCGGTATATTCTAGTTAACTCTACTCACCAGCAGTGGCCGAGGCGACCAGGGCCAGGAGCACCAAAAACTTGGTGTCCATCGTGAGTATCTCGTGCGTCTTGTGGGTCGTGACTCGTGTGTCGTTCGTGTGTCGTGGGTCGAAACTTGCAATAACTTGCAACTGAAGTCAGTAGCGCCAAACCGACTCTTTTATACAAAACTGCTAGGGCAAAGGCCAACAAGGTTTGCGATAAACAAATGATACGGAAAGCACTTCAAGTGGACGTGCGCTCCTGATTAGAGCGTGTGGCTAAAACTGGTATTGATGTCACATAGGACATTTTTGTTTCTTCGATCTGCGTCGTTCTGCTCAGGGCAGTTACCCTTCCTGACATACATCGTTGACCTGATTAGTGTAGTGCACTTCACAATCAACTACACGAATCTTTTATTAATTAGGTGAAAGTCATCGGTCACCGGGGTATCTAGATTTGACCTCTATACCTAAGAGTTGCACTTTCGTATCAGAGATTTATTTAGGTTCTCAATATCTTCTGCGCTTGTTGTAAGACTAACTGTCACCCACGGGTCAAAGTCTAGTTTACGCTGGCATGGTGCAACAAAGTTCTGAATCTGCATTAATTGTAAACTATGAGATGGATGTCTGTGTTGTCCATTCCTGAAATGCAAAGCGAAGATTAGTTGATTTTTTAAAAATAACAACGTTAACCAGTCGCTTTATTCAAACTTTCTAAACCAATAGTGGACAAACTACAGTGTGCCGGCGAAATACACCCACCCCCTAAAAATAAATAAATAAATAGGTAAATAGATAAATAAATAAATAAATAAATAAATAAATAGATAAACACATTTTAAAAAAAAAATTGTGAGTGTTGTCCATTTGATAAATCCAAAAACAATTATTATTTTTAATACTTAAGTTATAAATTGGTTTGACCAGACTTTCTAAATCTTTGTAGGATCGGTAACCATAACATAACCCGGGAAAACTATAATACTATCAAGTAAGGAATTTACGTAATGTTTTCCTCATATGCAAATTTCTTTGGCGTTCTACAATTGCCTGTTGGAGCTTAACTTTATCTGTCTGTCTCTTTGTTTGCTCCGTTCTTTTAGTTAGAGTTAGGAACAGCAGCAATTTGAGCAACCCTGGTTTGAATCTCCCAGTCAGCATTCTTGAACTTAGGAAACACGAGGTAGATTTCAACTCAATGGAGTGCACGTCTCTTAACTTTGTGTTTGCTGAAACAGGGAGCTAAGCTAAAACAAAATTATACCAATGTCTTTTTATTGATTTGTGTACTCCCCCCCCCCACCTCTGTCTGTCTGTCTGTCTGTCTGTCTGTCTGTCTGTCTGTCTGTCTGTCTGTTTGTCTGTCTGTCTGTCTGTCTGCCTGTCTGACTCTCTCTCTCTCTCTCTCTCTCTCTCTCTCTCTCTGTCTCTCTCACTGTCTGTCTGTCTGTCTGTCTGTCTGTCTGTCTGTCTGTCTGTCTGTCTGTCTCTCTCTCTCTCTCTCTCTCTCTCTCTCTCTCTCTCTGTGTGTGTCTGTGTGTGTGTGTGTGTGTCTGTGTGTGTGTGTGTGTGTGTGTGTGTGTGTGTGTGTGTGTGTGTGTGTGTGAGAGGTCAATATTCCGTTATCTTCAAAAGATAGGAAAAATATTTCAACCCCACTGGTGCGCTGATATAACTTTATCCAGGATTTATTGTTATACATATCTTGGTTAACCAGGTTGAAACTTCTAGCTTAACCCAGAGATATGGGCTATTATTTTGCACCATTAGCCTGTGTACTTTGTTCGACGGTTCAAACTGATCCAACTTTTCTCTGTCCTGTTAATAGGTCAAATGTTGAAACTCTACGACGCTTCGCCACTCATCTATCTCGTGTCTCCGGGAACGTTCACAAAAAATGACGTCAGCTAAAATGTATCCAAAAATGACCCTCCTTTTCGTCTTTGTCATCTTCTGTCATCTTTCCCAGGACCCCCCCCCTCCCGCTCCCCCACACCCCCTTCTTTTTTATTATTTATTTTGGTAAGTGTTTTACGGCGCTCGCAACTGCATAAGATCATATGAGCACGCGGGACACACCTAATATTTTCAGTTTGCAGGAAATTTTGAATTTTGCCCGGGTGGCGGCCGAAGCCTATTCTTATCGACTTTAGACCACCAAGGGACCTTTAACGTGCGCAACTTGCACACGGGCCCTCCGAGATTTTTCGCCCTTGTCCGAGAAGGCTAGGTGTAGATCTTTCCTACCAGAAGATCAGGGGTGTGGCAGAAAGACAACAGTAAGGAGGAGCCAAGGAGTAGCAGTAGAAAGGCTGCAGAAAGAGTCAGAAGCCCAGAGGAGGGGGCAAAGGAGGTGAGGGCCACCCCCTTCAATTTTATGTCTACCAAAATGTACATGCACATTTAGATAGAACCTGTACTGGGTGCATTTTATATTTACCCTTTGATCTTTATTCTATATTAAAATATAATGAAACGATTGTTTATTAAAGAATACAACAAAGAAATATATGAATTGTCAAATTATTTATTAACAATTTTTACTAAGCGAAATAATTAAAACAAATAGATTGGATATCACAGCTTGGAAAATAAACAAAAGCAAAAATATAGGAGTATTTACCTCAGCCTGGAAAAAAAATCAAATAAATATTTTCTCTCCCCCCTCCAACCTTTTAGAGCATCATGGTTGACGTCAACTTTGTAAGGACAACCCCTCCCCTATGTCAACTTCTGTCATTTGTGGACGGTCCCTTTCTTATTTGTCGTTATGATAATCGTATTATCTGTTTTGCTTTTGTTAAGGGCTCTCTGTGGACTAATTTGGTATCATGCTGGGCTTCGGAGCGGAGGGCTATGGTTCGAATCCCGAACGTGGCGCTCTGAACTTGGGTTGTTTTGGGGGAGTTTTTAAGGCTCTCGCAACTCGATAAGGTCATATGAGCGCCAAGGGGTGGATGTCAACAGAGAAGTCCAAACGGGGAATCAGGATTACTCTGCTCACCTCTCTTGCCCCAACAGCACAAAGTCTGATTCGACTGTCAAGGCACCCAGGAAATAGCAGTTCACAAGAGAGTGACAAACATACAAAAGAAGTAGAAGTAAAATGACGATTGTAAGGATGAAGAAAGAAAAAGGAGCAGCCCCCCCCCCTAGGTTGCTCCGGCACAGTATGAGCATGACATTGATTAATCAGCACATATACAGTCTACTGTACTTAAGAGCTTGTTAATATCCCCCCCCCCCCAAACACACACATTTTGGGAATAGTCTAAAGACACTTCAGTCAGTAGCACTGCCCTGGTGGAACCGAAGGTGTTGGTAGCGTTTGTATAATTTGTCTGTCCGTATGTCAGTGACATTTTTTTCTATATCTCAAAACCTCGTGGTTTTCTCTCTTTGTTTTTCTTCTTCTTCTTTTCTTTATCTTTGCGCAAACACGAGTGCGCCTTTGCGTCTGTCAGTCGGCCTACGTGTGTGAGTGCGCGTCAGTGTTTTTTTGTTTTTTACATTCCTATGTGTTTGCGTTCGCGCTCGACTACATCTTTCCGTGAGACTATGGCAATTTGTTTGATTTTGGTTAGTGTTTTATGTCGCTTGCAGCTGCATTAGGTCCTATGAGATCACGGGACACATTAAAGATTTTCAATTTGGTAAAAATGTTTGAATGTTGCTCGGGTGGCGGCCGTAGCCTACTCTCATCGATTTTAGGACGGCCAAGGGGTCTTTAATGAGCACAACTTGCCCACGAGACCTCTGAGATTTTTCGCCCTCCGCCGAGAAGACTAGGTGTTAGATCTTACCTACCATAAGATCAGGGGTGTCGCTGAAAGACAGAAATAAGAAGAAGACAAGGAGTGGCAATACATATGTTGCAGAAAGAGTCAGGAGCCCGGAGGATGGGGCAAAGATGAGAGGTGGGGGAGGGGGCAGAAAGTGGAGACGGAAGCGGACGACATAACATGGATAGAGAGCAGGAAAGGAGGCTCAAGGATAAAAATTCAGAGGACAAAATGTTTCCGTCGCTGTCAGGATTCGAACTCGGGACCTATTAAATGAGACGTGAACACCGTTACCTCTAGACCATGAGAGGTCCCCCAAACGACGATGGTGTGATTAGTTAAGGGATAATGAGCTGTTAGCAATACTTTCTGGCCATATTTTAACACCCCCTTTAACACTGTAAGGTTATGTAACAGGTGGGGTCTCCGAATGTATCGTCCATCTCCAATAGGACCAAGCCACACCGGCTTCGATTTTCAAAACTCTCCAAAACAATCTATTAAGTCCAGAGCGCCTTGTTTGGTGTCCACTCCGTAGTCTCCAGGATGACATCTACTACCCTTTGCACCAGTTTACCTTCACCTTCACCTAACCTGTTGACTGGATGTCCGTTGGGGCGCTTTTGTAAGATTTGGCCACCAGCTTCCTCCACTCCTTCCGGCCTTCAAGCTTTCCGGAGTGTGTCTTTAAGTTCCAGGCCTGTCTATTCCTTGATGTTGTCCTCCCAACTCTTCTTCGGTTTGCCTTTATTCCTTTATCCCTGGACGCGGCCTTGCAGGATCATCAGTTAGGAATAAGCATTTTTTGTTGCAAAAACGTGGACGAGTTCATCATAACATGCTGAATACGAAGTGGACGTAGATAAGCACAACACATCTGGCAAACAGGCAAAATTGTCTGTGGACGTGGCTATTATTTTAATACCCTATTCTCTCTCTCCATCACTGTCTCTGTCTCTGTCTCTGTCTCTGTCTCTGTCCCTCTCTGTTTCTCTCTCTCTGTTTCTCTCTCTCTCTCTCTCTCTCTCTCTCTCTC